GTCGCGGAGGTGGTGCTGCAAGTATGAAGAGTGCCGGCAACGAGAGCGAGTCGAGGGACGATCGCTTCCCGGGTCAATTCTTCTTCGTGTCCACACAAGCACCGGCTGGTCCAGAGAATGATGAAAGCTTTGAGGAGCCAGCAGCTGTGGGGAAGGTCACCCTACACTCCCTGGACTATTGGGTGATCGATAGCGGCGCTACCTATAGCATGACACCTCGTGCGGACTTGCTCACCGAGCTTGAGCCGTCACCGGTGAAGCATGTGACATCGGCTTTGGGGCAGCGAGCAGAGGTGAAAGGCATGGGCAAGGCCATGTTCAAGGGTGCTGATGGGAAGATGGTGGGCCTCAAGAACGTGCTTTGGGTGCCCAACCTTGCTGCCAACCTGATTTCCGTGCGGCGGTTGCAAAAGGCCGGCATGGACACGAGCTCGAAGGGAGCTAAGACCTACACCGCGAGGCTTGGCGAGCGGATTCTTTGGGACCTTCACGAGGATAGGGATGTCTACAACGAGATGTGGCAAATCCCTGTGGTCCCCATGCCTAAGGAGAGGCAAGTGGCAGCAAGCATCAGCACCAAGGGTGAAGCGGTTGGTAGCGGCGATGGCGCGAACGGTCGCGCTAAGGAGATAAAGTCCAAGAAGTGCAATCTTGGAGGGACCAGCAAGCTCGGTGAACATGAGGAGAGTGGTGCAGCAGCTCAGAAGCAGCACAAGGGTGAGGAGAACCCCAAGGCAGCAGCGGAGGAGGAGTACGGAGAGAACATGTGGGGCACTATTGCGAGTGCGGCATTCTCCAATCCGACTTCGGCTACGGGGGAGTGTGATTGGCTCACCTTGCATCGGCGAATGGGGCATGTGGCCCTGCCCATCTTGCAGCAGCTAGTGAAGAATGAGATGGTTGCTGGCATACGTGTGAAGGGGGAGCCCGATGAGGTACTTGGCTGCCCGACGTGCATGCAAGCCAAGTTCACACGTTTCCCGTTCTCTAGTTCGGAGGCAACGGCTAAGGCACCACTTGATGAGGTGGTGATGGACGTGGTGGGCCCCCTGAAGCTTGGAGCTGCTGGAGCTGAGTACTTTCTCACCATTGTGGACGTCTACACTCGCATGACTTGGGTGTACGTGCTGTCCAAGAAGAGTGACGTGGCTGAAACGGTGAAGACCGATTGGTTGCCGATGGTGGAGCGGCAACAAGACCGGCTAGTGAAGGCAATCCGCACCGATCGAGGGGGAGAGTTCTTGAGCAAGGAGTTTGGATTGTGGCTGAAGAAGAATGGCATAAGGCACTCCCTTACCATGCCATACTCCCCTGCAATGAACGGCATCGCCGAGCGAGCGAACCGGACAATCACGGAGACGGCGCGCGGGTTGCTCATTGAAGCCGGGCTACCCGAATATTTCTGGCCTGATGCGGTGCGGAGTGCATGTGTGGCCAAGAACAGAGCTTTGACTCATGTGGGAGCAGACAAATGGGTGCCCTATGTGGAGTGGATTGGAAGGAAGCCAAAGGTGGATATGCTTCGGGTGTTCGGGTGCATGTGCATGGCGCTCGTGCCTAAGCATCTTCGGCACAACAAGCTCGGTGCCAAGGCGATATGGGCTGTGCACTTGGGCATGGCTCAAAACAGCAAGGGGTGGCTTCTTTGGGACCCATTCACCAAGAAATTCTTGGTGAGCAGGGACTGCAAATTCATGGAGAATCTGATGTACAAGGATTGGAAGGCGGAGAATGAGGCGAAGATAGGCGTGCGGTTGGGGGACGTGAAGAGTTCCGGTTTGGAGCATGTGGAGCTGCCCTTGGAGCTGAGCAGCGGCAGCACCACCACAAGGCAATCTTCCCTTGTGAATGGGGGAGAGGAGGCCAAGGATGCAGAGGAAGAAGAGGAGGAGGTTCAGCAAGTGAGCGAGTGTGCACCGACACTTCCTTCTCGCACTACAAGTGCTCCACGGATCCGAGTCACCCCGCAGCAACGCCAAGGCCTTCATGTCCCTGCAGCTGAGGAAGAAGGAAGGGGCAAAAGGAGAATCCAAGCCCCAAATAGGCTGACCTATGAGGCACTCGGAAAGCCAGCCAAGTCAGCCTTGGCCGGAGCGGCACTTATAGTTGGAGAAGACGAGGAGAGTGACTACGAGGAGTGTGCCTTCGCGTTCTTCTCTCCGGTGGAGATGCCGGGGGAACCAGCAACTCTCAAGGAGGCCTTGGAGAGTAGTGATGCTGAGGAGTGGAAGAAGGCAATGGAGAGTGAGCTGAAGAGCATTGAGGAGAACGGCACATGGGAATTGGTGGAGCTACCGGAGGGGCGTAAGGCGATTACGTCCAAGTGGCTCTTCAAGATCAAGTCCGACGCCGACGGCAAGATCGAGCGCTACAAGTCTAGGCTTGTGGCGAAGGGGTACCAGCAGAAGGAGAAGGTGGACTATAAGGAGTTGTTTGCTCCTGTGGTGAAGCCGACGACGCTGCGAACCCTACTCGCGGGAGCTGCCATCAAAGGATGGGTGGTGAAACAAATGGATGTCACAACGGCATTCCTCAATGGCGTCCTTGAGGAAGAGATTTTCATGGCGCAGCCAGAGGGGTTTGATGATGGTAGTGGCAGAGTTTTGAGGCTGAAGAAGGCCCTTTATGGACTGAAGCAGGCCCCTAGGCAGTGGTATTTGAAGCTGCGAGGAGTTTTGGAGGAGATCGGCTTCACTCCCTCAACGGCCGATCACTCATTGTTCATGCTTGGCGAGGGGGAGCAGAGGAGCTTCATGGTGGTGTACGTGGATGACATCCTCATCTTTTCACCCTCATCTGACCTTGTGAAGGAGGTGATGCTGAAGCTTCAGGACAAGTTTAAGTGTAAGGCCCTTGGTGACGTCAACTTCTACCTTGGGCTTCACATTGAACGTGATGTGGAGAAGCGGTGCATGCGGGTGCATCAACGGAAGTACCTGGAGGCATTGGCTGCCAACTTTGGGCAGAGTGAAGGCCATGTGGCTACACCCTTTCCCTCTGGTTTCAAGTGTGTGAAGGGACCAGAGGAGGAGAGCGTTGGTGAAGAGGAGAGGCGCCGTTTTCACTCGTTGGTGGGCAGCCTCATGTATGCGGCGGTAAACACCCGACCGGACGTCGCGTTTGCTACCGGGCAGCTGGCTAGGGTTGTGCAATGCCCTAATGAGGAGCAGGTAGCAGCTGGAATGAGGGTGGCCAAGTATCTTGGCCAAACACCGACCGTTGGGCTGCAATACTCGGCGGCGGCACAAAGGCGCCAAAAGGGCGCGGATGGTGTTGAACCCGGGCGTTTGTTCCTCACCGCCTACTCGGATGCTTCATATGCATCAGAACCAGAGGACATGACAAGTGTGGGAGGCTTCATATGCTGTGTTGGTGGAGGCCCAACTGCTTGGGAGAGCAAGAAGCAGGTTGACCAAGCTTTGAGCTCGGTGGAGTCCGAGTACATGGCACTCTTCCGTGCCGTACGGGAGATTGTGTGGCAGCGGCGTTTGTTGGCTGAATTGGGGGAGGAGCAGCAAGGACCTACCCCACTGTACTGTGACAGCCAGGGTGCCATTGCTCTTGCTAAGAACCCTGTGTTGCATGGACTCACGAAGCACATGAGAGTGAAGTGGCATTGGACGAGGAGCATGGTAACCGCGGGTGAAGTTGAGTTGCGCTACGTGAAGACCACGGGGCAGCCGGCTGACATGATGACCAAGAGGCTGGTGGAGCAGCAGCATTGGAAGTGTTGCAAGCTGGCTGGGATGGCTCTGAACTGAGAGAGCAACATATCCTAAGGCCAACAATCCGAGGGGGAGTTTGTTGGTGCAACCCTACGGTTTGCACTCGGCTTGTTGTCCGTGTGCGTGAATGCGTGTGTGTATGGAATGGTATGAGGGCATGGGATAATATATATTTCATGCTTATAATTGTGTGTGAATGTTGAGTCATGATGTCGAGTGTGTGTGTCGAGTCAATAGCGAGTTATTGCTAGACGCGTGTTACGCGGTCGTTTGTGTCTCGCGCGCGGTTTCTATTTTGTCGTGCGCGGTTTCTATTTTGTCCTGTGTCGAACGTTCGGCGTGTCGCAGGTGTGTGCAGCAGACCCATCAAGAACTCAAGGATGAGTTTGTGATGAAGAGCCCGAGCCTTGGTGTCAAGCCTCAAGTGATTTCGAAGCTTGCCAAAAGGGTACACCTCAAGATATTGAAGATAGTTACATTACTTTGTGTAGTGTAACATTTCACTTGGTGTAGGCCCTAGTGAAGGGTAGTTTCGAGACCCTTCGTGGTTGGGGACAGTGTGGCACTGTTCCACATCACTGTACCTCGGCTCTTGGGGTTTGTAGGAGCTGGGAGTCATTCCCAACTCGTAACTCTTCCTATCTTGTGTTCTAAGACTATAGTGGTTGCCATAGTACCGTTCGTTCAAACCGACGCTGTGTCGTCAATTCTTTATCAAATCGTGCAATCTAAATTGCTAATTGTAGACGACGTGAAGACGCTCCAGATCCAATTTGAATCAAGTCATTTGCAGCTGTGAGCAGAACGCTATCAACGTTTGAAGCCGCTGTGCAGAAATCCGTCTGTGCACTCTATCTTTCGTTTTAGGCACATTCAAGGCTATTGTGACTATAACAAAATTCACGGGCAGCGTAGGGGTATCTCGTAATCATACTCTCAAAAGGACGTAACCGTCGCATTTAGCCATGGCGGCAGCTGCGGTGCTGCCAGCACCCACGCACTTCAAAGCAGCTCGAGCCGTGGTGGCGGTAATGGAGGCGTACCGCGACGCGCGCGTGCAGTTCTTCATGAAAGTCGGCGAACTCGCATCAGGTTCGCCTTAGTCTCAGTCTTTTTTGCGCTCTATTCTCAGTGTCTCTCAGCATCCAAGCTTTGATTTGCGAGTTCATGGCGAATTCATAGCGAATTCATGGCGAATTCATAGCGAACTCATGGCGCTGCTGGGTGAGGTTCCTTCTTTGCGATTCGCGAGCTCGCCAGCTCTATTGACTCCGAATGCGTTCCTACCGCGTTTCTTCCCCTGCAGAACACGGAGACGCTGCTGTCGCTCGGCGCACTGCAGCTGCTGCTGCCGCTTGCGCAGGACAGCATGGCGTCCGTGCGATCCGCTGCGACGCTGTCGCTGGGTCGCCTGGCGAATGTGTAGCACACGCGGTCGCATCACCTCGTGCAGCGCAACGTGCTGCCGTCGCTCTTCAAGGCGCTCACGTCAGTCCTGCCTTTAAGTGCTTGAGTCATTTCTTACGAAGCCTTATTTGGTTCAATATCCACGTTTTGCTCGCTTCTTGTCCCTTTTGAGCTCTAGCTTCAATATCCTCTCAAATGTAGTGCGGTTTGTATGCAACGCACTCACATCAGTCCCACCGCTGTCTTCGTTCCCTCTTTTTCTCCCTCAACCCCCTCGTCGTCCCTCTCCTCACCCTCCAATCCCTTGTCGTCCCCTCTTGTCCCCCTCTACCCCCCAGCGGCACCAATCGCCACCACAAGGGCGCAGCAGCATATCTAGTCAAGGCCGTGTCACGCCACGCTGGCGCTGAGCTGGCAGAGGCGGGCGTGCTGCCGTTGCTGACGGAGTGCCTTCTGGATGCCATGCTGGCGGTACGGGAGACTGCTGCATGCGCATTGGGCCACGTGGCGAAGCACAGCGGGGACATGGCGATGAGAGTGGTTGAGACGGTTGCAGTGCGGTTGCTGGATGAGAGTGGCATTAACTCCTTACATCTCCATATCTCATCTCCCCATATCTCATATCCTTATACCTCATAGCAGGATGAGGCTGTGGCGCGGATAGCCCTCTCAGTGCTGAGTGACGTGGCACGCCACTCCCTGCTGCATGCTACAGCCGTGGCCGATGCGGGCGGCATTACCGCCACCGCCTCTCTGTTGGGATCACCTGACATCAAGACAAGGCGTCAGGTGCTGTCCTCATGCCTGGCACCAGATTTTGATGCACTCAAAGGCCCACTCTCAACCCCTCTCTGATCACCTCTGCTGCCCTCTGCAGCACCACTTTCACCCTGCTGCAGCCCTCGCCTTCTCTCTGCCCTTGTCGTTAGCTCCTGCCCACTTCTGCACTACCACCTTGGCTTTGCATCTCTACAGCACCTCCTTTTCACCCTTCTGCACCCATCTTGACGACCCCATGTGCCTCTTTGCACACCTGCTTGTCTTTCTGCTTCCCCTGTTTTCCCACCCATCTGCACCCCCCTTCATCCCTTACAGGTCTGCGTCTGCCTTTGTACCATCACCAGGCACTCTGAATCCCTCGCCCTCATAAGCACTGCTCCAAACCATCGCAAACCATCTAGAACCATCTAAACCGCTCTAGATGGCCTCCTCATGGTACATCTCTCTTCATGGCATGGCCTCCTGTCCGCCTACACACTCCTCTCTTCCCTGCCTCCCCGATTCATAGCAAGCGTCGGACCACCCCGATGCATCTCGCTTGCTGCTCCGCCTGCCCGACTCCTCGCCCTCCCTGCACGCATCAGCAGCAGCTTGGAGTGAGGGAGGTGGCTTGTATACTCACTCCAAACCCTATCTACCCACCCGCCTCCCCACTTTCCCCTAACCCTTTTCCCCCTCCTCCTCCTCCTTTCGCCCTCTCCGTTTCCTACTCTCTCTTCCCGCTCAGCAAGTGTTGGACCAACACGGAGCATCTCACCTGCTGCTCTACCTGCACGACTCGTCCCCCTCCCTGCGGGCGTCAGCAGCAGCAGCAGTGAGAGAGGTGGCGAGGCAGGGACCAGCAGCAGCAGGCCAGCTGGTGGGCATGGGGGGCATTGGGCCGCTTCTTGATGCTTTGGCCGCATGGAGGGACGAGGGCGAGGGGGAGGGCATGACAAAGGGCTCTGCCAAGGTTGCAGGTCAGTGACTTGTGCTCCCTCTGTGTTCTCCTTGTGTTCTCTTGGGAATCTCTGTCACACAAACACACGCACACGCCATACCCCCTCCTGCTCATTCATCCATCTTGCGCTTTCAAACTATCGCTGTCTTACCTCCATCTCCTCTCCCTCCCCTATTATCTCCCCCCCCTTCCCCCCTCCAACCATTCTATCCCCCATACAACCGATTTCCAGTGGTGGTGGCCCTCGGCTCCCTGGCAGCTTCCTCGCGTGTCGCAGTGCTGGCAGTGGTGGCATCGGACGGCATATCCCCGCTGCAGGATCTGATAGTGATGGGTGATGTGATGCTCACGCCACCCTCAAAGGGGCCTGCGATGTGTCCTTTCTGTCGCACTGTACTTTTCGTCAAGTCAAAGGTCAGCGACCTTTGACCTTCGCGTAACCTCCAGCGGTTGCCTCTGTTGACTCGTGTTGCTTCACTGTAGTCTGCTTCGTTTCGTGTCGATAGTTCGATACTTCAGAAGCGTTCAAGTTATTGTTTCCAATACTCACCTTCGCTTCTCGAGTGTCGCTGCTGATGACGTGTCCTTGCCCAGTCAGCAGCATGCAGTACTCGAACTTCTGTTTTCCGAGTTTCTTGGTCAAGTAATCTGCTGCCATCTCGGATGTGGGACAGTAGGATAGCTCGAGTCTTCCCTTCTTGATTTCGTCTTTTACGAAGAAGTACCGGAGGGCGATGTGCTTTGTTCGATTCGCGAACCCATTCTTGTTCGCTATGCGAATGGCCGATTGGTTGTCGCAGAAGAGGGAAAAGCTGGGTAATTGAGCCAACTTTGCTTCTTCCAGTAATTCGCGAAGATATAGTCCTTCCTTGGTGGCTGAGCAGAGTGCGATATATTCTGCTTCTGCTGAGGGAGAGAGCGATTAGCTCTTGCTTGTTCGACTGCCATGAGATAGGCCCGATAGGTTTGAGTCTGTAGACGTAGCCAGTTCGAGATCGTCTGTTGTCGGAGTCTCCAACGTGATCGGCGTCGACGTAACCGATTAGCTTAGGCGTCGTAGTTCCGGTCTTGTAGTAGGTTAGTCCGATCGTCGGAGTGCTGACGAGGTAGTGAAGTGCTCGGTCGAGTTCAAGCATGTGCTCTGCTTCAGGCTTCTTGAGGTAGGTAGCGAGTTGGCTAGCTGAGTAGAATAGATCCGGTCGGCAGGTGACGGCTGCGAAGAGTAGGCAGCCTAACTTTCGTTGGTAGTCGCGGATGCCGGCAGGTTTGAGTAGAGCGGAGGCTTTTCGATTTCCGTCGGTGTAGCGGTATGGCGTGGAGATGACGGTTGGAGTGAGTCCGAAACGCTTAGCGATAGTGTCCGTGTACTTTTCAGCGCTGAGGTAGATTGCATTGTCGCCGTCTTGGATGTTCAGTCCCAGGTACTGTGTCACGGTAGTTGCGACGGTGAGAGTGAGATCCCGTTGCAGCTCCCCTTCAAACCATGTCGTTATGGCGTCGGTGGAGCCTATGTAGAGGAGGTCGTCGACGTAGACGATGAGTAGAATGTAGTTGGTACCCTTCGTCAGTCGGTACATCCCTTGGTCGTGTGGTAGTTGAAGGAATCCGATGCGGATTAGGCGGGCGTGAAGGTGCTGCTGCCACAGTCTCGGGGCTTGCTTGATCCCATATAGTGACTTCTCTAGCTGACAGACTTGTTTTGGGCTTGCGTTGGACCCTTGCGGGAGTTCGACGAAAATCTCAGCATCGACGGGGGCGTAGAGGAAGGCGTTGGCGACATCGATTTGCCGAAGCTTCTTCCGGTTCATGGCGGCTGTCGCGAGGAGAATCCGCAGTGAGGTATGTCTGCTTACTGGGGCGAATGTTTCCGTGAAGTCTCGCCCTTGCTCTTGGTCTAAGCCACGCACAACCCAGCGTGCTTTGAATTTGTCTATTGTTTCGTCGGCTTTTGTTTTCACGCGGAAAACCAATTTTCCCGTAAGGATGGTCTTGTTGCGTGCCACTCCGATAGGTACGACTTTCCAGGTGTTGCGTTCTTGCAGCGCCTTTAACTCTCTGTCCATGGCCTCGCGCCATTTTTCCCTGTGTTCCCCCCCCAGAGCCTGCTGAATGGTGGCAGGCTCCTTAGGTGGTGTTGCTCCGTGGACAGCGGTGACGAGTCCCAGTATCTGCAGGCCACTTTGTGTGTAGCGGGGGAGATTTGTGTCCTCTGGATAAGTTGCTTCGTCTCGTGCTTCAGGTTCTGGTAAGAAATTCGGTCCTATGCGTTCGGAGATGTTGGTGTCGACCGGTTGGGGTGTAACATAACCGGTGTCAGCGAAGTCGAAGTAGGTTTCGGCGTTGACACTTTCGTGAGGATTTTCGTCATCCACCGGGATGGGCACAGAGCAGTATGGGAGTGGTCCTGCTTCCTCGGATGCGTTGTCCACGTTTTGCTCGTCCCAGTCAGCTTCGTCTGCTGCTGAAGCGAAGGCTCGGTTGCCACGGAAGCCGCCCGTGAGGTCTCGATTTGCTGCCAAGTTGTCCAGGTACGTTTGAAGTGTGAGTCGCTCGTAGAAGATGACATCACGTGCTGCTACTGTTTCCATCGAGTGGACGTCAAAAATTTTCCATGCGTTGTAATGCTTTTCGATGCCCAGGTGTAGTCCCCACAGTGCGCGTTGAGAAACTCTTCCGGCTCTTGCAGTGTGCGGGCGGTACTGTACCATGCACCCGAAAACTCGTAACATTTTTGTGTTGCCCAGTTTTCCTGTCCACAGCAGGTGCGGTGATGCGTTGTTCGGGAGCGATGATGACGAGAGCAAGTTGTGCAGCATGACAGCGTGGTCCATCGCCTCAGGCCACTGGTGACTGGGCAGTCGTATGCCACGCAACAATTTGCGCATGGTGTTCTGGAGAGTCCTGTTCATCCGCTCTGCCACGCCTTGCTGTTGATGGGCGTAGGGAAGCGAGATGAGTCGCTTGATGCCTCGTTCGGCGAGGTACTGCTTGAATCTTTGGGACTGATATTCCCCTCCTCCGTTTGACTGGAAGCTTTTCAGCTTTGCTCCTGATTCTCGTTCTGCCACAGGTAGCCAGGCGACGAAGGCTTCGAAGGCCATGTCGCGACTTGGGAGATTAAGATGCCAGACGTAACGGGTGGCAGCGTCGATGAAAGTAATCACGTATTTATATGCTCCTTGTCCTTGTTCGCGAGTATACAGGATGTCGCTGTATACTTTCTCGAGTGGTGCGTAGGCTGGCGCGCTTGGATTGTGGTGAGAGACGAACGGTTGATGGGGTAAGTCGGCTTCGGGACAGGTAAAGCATGTTCCTCGGACTCGTTGGAGTTCTCTGCCGTCGGGTAGAAGGAGTGAATCTTTGTCGAGTACTGCTGCCTTGATTGTATTGTTTAACGTGGTGTTGCTTGGATGACCCAGTCTTTCGTGCCACAGGGATTCGCTCGCACGATGTCCTGGTGAGCGCCTGTATAGGTCGGAGTTGGAGTAAAAGCCCGCGGTGAAGTTGGCACTTCTGTGAACTTCTCGTGGAGTGGGAGTTAACTGTTGTGCAGGAGTCGGTGGAGTGTCGTCGATGAGAACCGGTGTCGTTGAAGATCCCGCGATTGGTGCCGTAAGTGTTGTTGCTGCTGTTGATGTTGTCTCCGCTGCTGTTGATGTTGTTTCTTCTTGTCGGATTGTTGCTAATGCCCTTGTTCTTTCTGCTTCAGGTATGGTATGTGAATACCAAAATCCTCCTGGGCTGAAGTCGGGATCAAGGTCCGGTGGATGTGTCCAAGAAGCGAAGTTGACGATGGCGTCGCTGTCGGCGGTACCTTGGTCCGGTACGAAGTCAAGAACGAAGACGTTGTTCTTCAAGACTGCTCTGCCGATGTAGAGTCCGCCCTTTCCATGGAATAGTTTGAATTCCTGAGTGGTGCTGTCTGCTTCGAGATGGATGCTCTTCGCCATCAGTTGGCTGACGCTGAGTAAGTTGTAGCCGAGTCCTTCTGCAATCAAAACTTTAGACATTTGTAAAACGACGTTAGTTTCTCGAGACTGAAGTTGTACTATTCCTTGTCGTCGTGTGTGCAGGTTCTGGTTGTTGGCGACGGTGATTACAACTTCGCGCTGAAGTTGGTGTTCCTGTTGAACGAAGCGACCTGAGGAGCACATGTGCTGTCCACAGCAACTGTCCAAGAACCAAGTGTCTTGCCCGGACGGCTCGCTCTGGGCGATGGCTGCATACGTCGGGTTGGGCTCCAGTGATTCGCGGCGAGGAGTCCTTTCATCGAGTTGTTCTTCAGGTGAGTAGTGGGGTGGTGATCCGGTGATGCAGGAGTCCGTCGTTTTTGTCATGCAGCTCACGATGTTTCTTGTTCCTTGTGCAGGTTTTGTCGTTGAAGATGTTGAGGACTGCACTTGACTGGTGGGATGCGCCTGCGTAGAGGCTACTTGACTGCTTGAAGGCCGAAGTTGACGTTGCGGCGTTGTCGACTGCTGCTGATTCGGGCAGTGTGTGCAAGGATGTCCAGACGTCTTGCAGAGGTGACAAAACGGTGGGACGTAGTGTTGAGTCTGACGGTTGCTTTGTCGATTGCTGCTGTTGTTGTAGCGTCGTTGAGTGTGGAACGCGAATTCTGGTACTGACGTTTTCTTCTTGTGCCTTTCTTCGTGCAGATCCATATACTGCTGTTCAGCGTGAATTTCGGTGCAGAGTGCTGCTTCGGAGATCTTCCCGTGAGCTCGAAGGAGTGCTCGACTGGAGCGCCAATGAGGACCGAGGCCGGCGATAATGACTGTTACGAAGGCTTCTTCGGATATTGCTCCTCCGCATCGAATGAGTCTGTCGCGCAGTCCACGACATCGACTGATATACGCCATTCCCTTTTCGCCGGGTTTCATTTCCACTGTTGTCAGCTGTGCCATGAGATGGCTTTGATTAACACTATCTGTTGCTTGATATAGACTCTTCAAGTGCTCGTACGCCAGCTCGGCGGAGTTGCCGTATCCTCGATAAGACCGGATGTTCTGCTGCTCGTTTGGAGA